CTGTAACTCTGCATATTAGTTAAATAAGTAGGTTGACAATATATAGCCTTGATGTACTCCTTTCAATTAACAAATTGGACCCTTAATGGTGAGCTTGTAGGTTGTTTTTAGCTTATTGCTGCTGTACACAGTACTGTAATGAATATTTTTATACATGAATCTAATTTGCACATATTGGAAGAGTTGTGTGTAGGTTAAATTTCAGAGTCTGTGTCTCACTCATCTGTATCTACAGCACTAGGCAGTTAGTAGGTTCTCAACATAAGTATTAAAATGCCCTGGGGCTTCCCTGAAAGCTCAGTAGTAAAGAATCTGCCGGCCAATGCAGGACACACAGGTTCAATCCCCGATTTGGGAAGATTCCACATAATGTGGAACAGCTGAGCCCGTGCGCCACAACTACTGAGGCTGCGCGCTAGAGCCTGGGAGCCGCCACTGCTGAGCCCACTTTCTGCAGTTACTGAAGCCTGTGCACCATAGCTAGGGAGTAGCCCCTGCTTGCTGCAACCAGAGCAAAGCCCACACCGCAGTGAAGACCCAGCACAGCCAAACATAAAATTATAAAATGCTCTGAATTTAGGTCTTTGAGGTCCTGCAGTGTATCATTTATCTTGGTATTTTTAGCATCCACAAGTGACCAACAGCACAAAAAATTGTTTTCTGAATGAATAATCTCAAGGATATGGAGAACTCTACCCCAAAAAGAACAAAGTGTTGAATAGTGACTTCAACTTTTAAATGCCATGTGTTTCAGAAGCACTTCACTAAGCATCGCCAGCTAGGAAGCACCTTGAGCCATTTCTAAGGAGGGCTCTGCATTCCTCCCCTTCCCCTTCCTCCGTGTGTTGAGTGTTGATGTACTTCTTTCCCTGGGCAGTAGAAAGACTAGGTAAAAAATTCTTAACAGATAATTGGGTAGAGAGAGAAGTTAAAGACTCTTGCTTTCCCTTAAAAGTTACATTTTGTTCTCACCTCCAGGATGCTACTCTCAGAACCTTTAAAGCAGGGGCAGTTTCTCATTCAGCCCCACATGACTAGTGCCTAGTGTAGTTCCTCATACAAAGAGCAGGCCTTCAGTCGACATGTGGGAAGTAAATAAATCAAGCAAGTGTTAAACTATGCAGTTGGCATGATCTGAGAAATTTTCTAAATGTTTTGACCATCTTCCCAAATTTGAATTCTCCATTTTCTTCTGTTCATTGATGCCTCTTTTATTATATATCAAATTTTTTGTACAATAGGATTTATTCCTGAGTGTCGTTTTTTTAATTCGTAGATCCATCCATCTGTTTTTTGGTGCCAGTCCATATAATTTTAGTGGCTTTATAATATGTTCTAGTATCTTATAAGTCTAATTATACCTCAGAATTCTCTTTTTCAAAATAATATTTTATACTCTTGTTTTTCTAAAATAAGTCTAAAATTCTGAAGCTATCACAGCATTGTTGATCAGCTATCAGTTCAGTTCAGTCACTTAGTTGTGTCCGACTCTTTACAACCCCATGAACCGTAGCACGCCAGGCCTTCCTGTCCATCACTAACTGCTGGAGTCTACCCAAACCCATGTGCATTGAGTCGGTGATGCCTTCCAACTATCTCATCCTCTGTTGTCCCCTTCTCCTCCTGCCCTCAATCTTTCCCAGTATCAGAGTCTTTTTCCAATGAGTCAGCTCTTTACATCAGGTGGCCAAAGTATTGGAGTTTCAGCTTCATCATCAGTCCTTCCAATGAACACCCAGGACTGATCTGCTTTAGGATGGACTGATTGGATCTCCTTGCCGTCCAAGGAACTCCGAAGTCTTCTCCAACACCGCAGTTCAAAAGCATCAATTCTTCTGCACTCAGCTTTCTTTTTAGTCTAACTGTCACATCCATACATGACTACTGGAAAAACCATAGCCTTGACTAGACAGACCTTTGTGGACAAAGTAATATCTCTGCTTTTTAATATGCTGTCTAGGTTGGTCATAACTTTGCTTCCAAGGAGTAAGCATCTTTTAATTTCATGCCTGCAATCACCACCTGCAGTGATTTGGAGCCAAAAAAAATAAAATCAGCCACTGTTTCCACTGTTTCCCCATCTATTTGCCATGAAGTGATGGGACTGGATGCCATGATCTTAGTTTTCTGAATGTTGAGCTTTAAGCCAACTTTTTCACTCTCCTCTTTCACTTTCATCAAGAGGCTCTTTAGTTCTTCTTCACTTGCCATAAGGGTGGTGCCATCTGCATATTGAGTTTATTGCTCTTTCCCCTGGCAATCTTGATTCTAGCTTGTGCTTCCTCCAGCCCAGCATTTCTCATGATGTACTCTGCATATAAGTTAAATAAGCAGGGTGACAATATACAGCCTTGACATACTCCTTTTCCAATTTGGAACCAGTCTGTTGTTCCATGTCCAGTTCTAACTATTGCTTCCTGACCTGCATACAGGTTTCTCAAGAGGCCTACTACTCAGATATAAAATAAAAAATTAATAAAATGAGTGTAAAGCTCTTTGGATGTATTCCAATAAAAGCAACCTATTGAGATTTTTTATCATAGTTACATTAAAACTACAAATTAATTTTTATATTGACATCTCTGTACTAGTCTTTCTATCAAATTTTCTGTTGTATATTTTAGTAAGAGCATATGTATTTCTTCGTATGGGTTTCTCATTCTTCAACATTTACCAAACAGCCATTCCCCTGACCCCCACTTCCTGCCATTGTATTTTCTGCTGGAGATACAAAGATGAATGTGTCACAGCTCATGCCCTCAAGGAGCTCACTTTGGTGGCAAGAGAGATAACTGATCAGATAATTACGACTAATTATCATAGTTATTGTGGTGAACAGAAGCGCAAGATGCTAAGGAAGCACAGAGGAGAGTTGCCAACCAAGATTGGGGGTTATTAAGCCTTCTGGATGAGAGGACTCCTGAACTAGAGGCAGAATAGAAGTTAACCAGATAAAGAAAGAAGAAAGCGTACTCTAGGCAGACAAAATGCTCTTTGGAGTGTATGTTCAAAAGTAAAGCGGTGAGAAAATTATTGAAGTGTCTTAGGAACTGCAGTAGCTGGAATATCACATGATAGTGTGCTGATAGCTGGAAACAAAACTAGGAAGGAGATGGGAGGGTGGCGGATTGTGAAGGTACTTGTGTGACGAGAGAGAAGAATTTGGGTATGGGATTGAAAGATTTAGGTGGGGGAGTGTACTGGTCAGATTAATGTTTTAGAAAACATATCCCTGAAAGAGAAAATAATGAAGTTAAATAAAGGTCACTCTGGCTGCAGTGTGGTGGATGGCATTCAGGGTTCCAAACTTCAGCTGACAGGCCAGCAGGCTGCTGGAGTCATCTGGAGGCGACCTGCCCTAAAGCAAGGGCCGTGGTGATGGAGGTGGCATTTAGGAGTGGTTCCAAGCTACAAAGGAGAGAGGCATGTACACAAACAGCAAGCGTGGGCACATGCAGCCCCCTCTTGTTAATATGTTGCTAAGTGGTTTATGGTTTTCACTAGTTTAAGCATGATTTCCCCCATATTATATTCTGTTTATGGCTTACATAAAAAAGCTATTGATTTTTTAAAAAAACACACCTATCTTGATATTCTTACACTTTCTAATTCTAAGTACTTACTTGATTTTTTTGGCTTTTCTATGTGTTTATTTCTAAGTATTTTTGCTATGGTATTTTTTTACCTTTTCCCTCTTTTTCCATTTTTATTATGAAAATCTCAGTCACAAAAATAAAGACAATAATACAGACTCACATGGGCCTTTCACCTATATTTGATTCATTACTCACCTACTATTAAAATTTGGTCCTATTCTCTTTATCTTTCCCTTTCCCGTGTTCTTGTGCTGTTACTGAAGTATTTTAAAGCTTTAGACCTTTTGTCTAAAGGTCTAAAATCTCAGACCTTTTGTCGTTTTAGTATGTCATACTATGTCACCTTTTGTCATACTTCAGTGTGCATCTCTAAAAAATATGTTTTCTTACATAACCACAGTGCTATTATCATACTTAACAAAATCAGCAGTAGTTCCTTGGCATAATTTAATAACCAATGTATATGCATATTCCTTGTTTATCTCAAAATGTATTTTGATTGGCTTATTCCATTCAGGATTTGGATTGCACATCACATTTGATAGTTTGAACTCAAAAACTCTTACTCTTTAACAGTCCATAACCTTACTCCCTTTTATAAAAAAATGCCATTGACAGTTGAAGAAACCAGGTCTGTTGTCATGCAGAATGCCTCACATTCAGGATTTGTCTCTTGTGCTATAATTTAACTTACTCCTCTGACTCCCGTATTTTCTGTTAACTGGAGGTTAACTTTGAACGACAAGTTAGTTGGGTTATGGTTCATTTTTTCCTCAGAAAGAGAGTGCAAGACTACTTTGTAGGTAGGTCTGTGAAGTGCTGCCTCTCTCTGATAATCCCACTCAGGGACACTAAGATTGATCAGTGGAGGTGATGTCAGCTCATCCTTCCATTGTAAATTTCCCCATCAATTTTTCATTGACTGAATTCATCCACTATTGATTGTCACCCGAATAAATTATTTCATGGCGGGCCACAAAAAATTGTTTAAATACTGTCAATTTTATCTCATTTATTAGCTGAATAAAGAACATTTTATCAATAACTGGGACTGTTTGGTTGTCCTAAAATATAACATGTACTGAAAAGACAAGATAAATGCTTAATTCATTTTCTTTTATTGCAAGTTTTGGATTAAGGAGTTGGTACCTTAGCTGTTCCATTTTAAGTATCTATTGATCATGCTTCTGTTTTATGACTTATTGTATTAGCTAACCCAGTGGTTCTTCCCTAGTGATTATCTCATTATCTCAGCCTTTGAGAAACAGGTCTTCATTTGCACGAGAGCCTCTACATCCTTAGGTATGTGAATGACTTGCTAAGTGCCACACATCAGTCTTTCCAGTCCTATACTTCTCAGAAGACAGAACAATGTTTCATTTGGTTTCTGTTTTCTTGTTCCAGATCATGCTGTGAACAAGATGCGTCAGCACTCAGATTCAGAAGTGGCTTGTCTTGCCAGAGAAGTTTACACTGAGTGGAGAACTTTCATAGAAAAACATGTCAATAGACCTTCCATAGAAGTCCGAAGTGATGCCAAAACTGAATCATTTAGGAAAAATGCCCAGAAATTACTCTCAGAAGCCTTGGAATTAGAGGTAATGTCTTGGTTGGAATGTGATTATTAGATATTCTTGGTCAAATAACCTTCACATTTTCACAATGAACTTTCATACTCTTTAGGGCCATAACTTTATTCTAACTTTTTTTCTTAAAGATTCTGGATTTGTAAACATTCTGGGAGACAGTATTATATAAGGAGTGCAGGCATTGGAACTAGCAAGACATGGATTAAAACACTGGCTTTAGTATGTACTGGTTGTGACACCTTAGGCAAGTCTCTTAACATTTCAAAGACTTGATTTTTTAATCTGTAAAGTGAAGATTATAATTCCTACTACCTAAAATTTTTGGAAAGATTAAATGAACAATATGTACAAAAGAATAGTATAGTGCCTGGTGGTTAGAAGTCACTTGATGAATGTTGGTTCTTTCCTATTTTTGAAATCCTTTCTGTAACAAATACCATATGATACCATCTATATATGGAACCTAAAATATGACACAAATGAACTTATTTATAAAACAGAAACACCCACAGAAATAAAAAACAGACTTACGATTACCAAAGGGGAAAGAAATTAAGAGATGGATAAACTAGGCATTTGGGATTAGCAGATACAAACCACTATGTATACAAAGTAGATTAACAACAAGGACCTAGTTTATAGCACCAAGAACTGTATTCAATATCCTATAATAAACAGTAATGGAAAAGAACATATATATATATATATATATATATACACATACATATACATACATATACACATATATATAATTGAATCACTTTGCTGTATACCAGAAACTGGCACAACACTATAAATCAACTATACTTCAATAAAAATAAATAAATAAATAAAATTCTTTCCCACTGAAGCAAAAGTTCTGAGATGGACGCTGTTAGGAATATCAGTAGCACAATAAATAGCTGTTTTTCTAAAAGACTCTACTACATTTTTTGTCAGCACTCTACCTTTAGTTCTAATGCTTATAATCAATTGACTAGACATCATCTCTATTATCTTTGTGACCAGCAGTTAGATGGTGTTAGTGGTTTGAGGTACAAATACTGGAAGAGAAATTTTTGTTCATTAGCAATAATATTAATCATCATCATCAAATGAATCTTACATTCAATTAGTATTCTGGGAAAGTCAGACATATAACATTGATATTTTTTCCTCCTCTCAGGGTACCCCTAATAAAGTATCCTTAAAGAATGATTTAATAATATTAACAAAAAGAAGCAATTCAGAAGTCTGATTTAAATAGTAGACTAGATCTGTCACTATATTCTCTAAAAAAATATTTTAACCTTTCTATCTCAATTATGCATCCACAAAAGAAAGGCAGATGGATTTGTATATATTATTTACTTTATTTAAAAATAAAATTTTGAGTTTTTAATACAAATGTGATAGAAAATGGAAAAATACAGAAAGGAAAAATAAAGTCACCATTGAACCTACTATCCAGACACAGTCTTATTAACATTTAGTGCATTTCCTGTTGCTAAATTATTATAGCTTTTTCAAAAAATAATGGTCAAGTTATGATTATCCAAGATTTATTAAGAGTCTGTTATGTTATGTGCCAGCTGTCCTGTAAAGTATTTTTATTGATTATTTAAATGACATTGCACAACATTGACAATTATTTATTTTTATATTATATTTAATCTTGATCAGTATCAGTATCATTTTGTATATAGTTTTCTATTATTTTTATCTATCTCTGTTTTTTGCATTTTTAACTTTTAATGTCTATTTGATGATTCAGTGAATTAATATACTGTAAGTTTGTTTAACTTTTCCTAAAGAAGCATTAATGTGAACAATAAGCCCTTGGAAGAGAGAAAAAAATACGAAGATCGTTAAGTCTAATTTTCCAGAGTCATTGATTAGCCAACAAGACTTGGTATTTGATATTTTAAGAGAAGTTTATTTTTCAAATAAACCAAAATTATTGCAGAAACATAGAGTGTGGATATATAATATGTAGTTAATGTAGTGGTAAATACCAGTTCCCTATGGTATCTTTTTAAGTAAATGATAATAACGAAGCTATGCTTGTAAGGATTAATGAGCAGTTTGCCTGCTATATTAAACTCCATAATAATTATCCTTTTAGTTTATCCATTAATTATCCTTTAAATGGCACATCAAGTGGTAAGCATTCAAGTGTTACAAAGCAAAGTTAAAAAAGTGATACATTTGTTAGTGCTTTCCAATATAATTGGAAAAAATATCAGATTAAGCATAGTTGAATGATTTTGCTCCCAAAGAGTAAATTTTAAAAACTAGAAGTGTTCATCTTACTGTCTTCCTTGGCCAAAGAAAGTCCATCTCTTTTCCTTGCATAAACAGCACTTTATAGTATTTTTATATATAATTTCATACATCAGAAAAGATAAATACAAACACTTTTACATAAAGTTAACTCTTAACACCCATCATCATCTGAAATATTTTCATATTAGGGTAAATCAATGAACCATCTAATCCAGTATCTGGTCTTTGACAGTAAATAATGTTGAGTGCATTCAAATCAGACATCAGATCTCCATAAATGTATTTTATCAGGCAGTAGTAAACCATTGGGTAAGTTATTGGCCCAGTGACTTAAAAGCTTTTGCAATTTGATTTTAGCATGTGTTTTTTTTTTCAAATCTACTTACTATATTTTTATAGAAAGTAATGTTTCCATGATATTTGTTTTGGTCTAAGTAGTGAAAGCCACAGAAGAGGAATATACACACAGCCCCAAAGTGCATCTATTACTCTACAGATCTTGCTTTCCAGATTCATGGATTGTTTCCTTGTTCTTGGAATAATGGAATAGATGAATAAAAACTCCATTGTTGAGACCCACGCTCCATTCCCCTTTACTTTCTCCCTTCTAGATCTTCTTTGTTCTTCCCTATATTTTAGATCTTTCCTCATATGAACGTCCCCTGTGGTGTCATTCTCTTACTTCCCCTTCCTCATTATCCACTCCTCTTCCTACCTCACGGCCTGTGATCATTTTCCTATTATGCCATTAAAAAAAATGAATCTGATTCTCAAAGTGAGCCTGTTATCGTTAAGAGTTATGAAGCACTGGCTGGTTGGCCCAGTTGGTTGTCCGATGGTGCTAATGAGACCCAGGTCAGGCGTACATCCCCATATGGGACTGTTAGTTTTTTCTTTGCTTAATGGCCTCAGACTGCACCTCTGGTTTTGACCAACTCTTTAATAAATGTATTCAAGTGGTCAAAAAGGAGTGTGGGTATATATGTACAAGTTCAATCATGCTATTGGAAAACTCATACAAAGTTTCCTTTAGTGGATATTCAATTCCCCGTGTTTAGTTCTGCTGCTACTAATGCCAGTGGAGAATGTTAACACAGATGAGCTGCAGTCCTCATCCTAAGAAAGTTTACTGTCTCCTGACTAAGAGCCCGCAGATGACTAAAGTATGAGGCAAGATGAAATACGTCTGAAATAGTGGTACTAGGAAGAGGTGTAAACACACAAAGGACAGAACAGTGAAATCTGATGGGGAAATCTGGGAAAAGTCTATGCAAAAGATAGCAGTTGAACTAGCCTTAGAATGGTTGGAATTTGCTCACTAGAAAATACATATAAAATAGAAACATATTTCATCTGCTATGTATAGGATGTTACTGACAGAGCAGAAAAGGAGGAAGGTATACCTGGGGAAAGAGGAAATTCATTTAGTAAATATTTACTGAGCGCTTAATATGTGCCAGTACCTATGCTAGGGATGGGGAATTTAGAAATGGATCCAGCGTGGTATCAGCCCTGGAGGCACTCACAATCTTCTGAGGGAAATAGACAAATAGAAGTTATAATACAGTGTGGGAAGTTCTGCACTTCAGGTAAACACACTAAGAAGAGTTTCTTACCTTGCTTTTAAAAAGCTTATAGTCATGGCAGACATCACTGATTGATTATGGCACCATTTCTTCTGAGTCCAAAATCCTTGACATAAGACAGCTTGGGGTGGATGTGTTTTATATCTTCTCTCAGTTTGTCCATGATTGGACAACTAAATAACATATTCATCCCACAGGTACAAATACATAAGGAAGGCATATCAGATTTTCTATCTCTGGGAAATTGACCTAGGAAACACCAAGAAACAGCAATGTAAATTTTGAAACAGAAGGAATCTTGGAGGAGTTTCAAGGAAGCAGAAGCTGTGGATAGAGAGATGTACAACAGGTGGAGAGAATAAGGCAGTTAGAACTGATAGTAAGGCAAATGAAAAGGAGCAAAAATATGGGAAAAAGAGATCAGGCAGATCATGAGAGACACAGAGAAAGGATATGGTCCATAAATAAATCTCCCTAAGTTTCTCACAGCATTCTTGTTCCCATTCATACATGTACCCCATAGCAAAATCCCTTTTTCTCAAGGTCTTAGTAAGACTCTGGTCCTTTCACCTAAAGTTGTCATTGTTCAGCCGCTAAGTCGTGTTTGACTCTTTGCAACCCCATGAACTACAGCACGCCAGGCTTCTCTGTCCTTCACTGTCTCCCTGAATTTGCTCAAATTCACGTCCATCAAGTTGGTGATGCCATCCAACCATCTCATCCTATATCGTCCCCTTTTTGCCTTCAATCTTTCCCAGCATCAGAGTCTTTTCCATGAGTCAGCTCTTTGCATCAGGTGACCTAAGTATTGGAGCTTCAGCTTCAATGCTTCACCCAAAGGGACTTACCTAAATTACCAGGTTAGGACCCACGGGAAAGACTCTCAGCTTGGGTAGGTTTGGAATGTCCAAAGGCATTATAAGATAGGAATTTTTCACTTTGTGCAGTAAACACATTATACACAAGGATACATGATGAATCACTTTCCTTTATGGTTTACATTTTAACATTACAAATGTTTTTCCTCATGTCTTCATTCTAACTGGGCTTCATTTAACAAGAGGCATCCTTGAGAATTGTTAGCTGCTTGCTTCTTATTCCCATCACATCACTGGGATAACACCTGTCCTGCTGCCCCATGGTTTTCTGTGTATATGCCTCTCCTTTCTAGGTGTGACTTCTTAAGGGTAGGGTGTCAGGTCTTTTCTTTTTGGGTGTCTCAAATATCTAGATCAGACTGTGCTCAGTAGTAACTCAACAGCTATTTGTTGAATGAAGTATGAATAAGTATTCAGTTCTGTGAATTTCAAGGTACTCTCAGGTTCTTTATATATATACTGTAATATAATGGAATGGCCATGATTTATTTTTGCAAAGGCACACATACACTTCTTCCCCGAATAACCACTCCCCTCAAAACGAAGGAAAAAAACAGACTTTTTTCTTGCCCGTTATATTAAGTGAATCTCGAAACAGTCAGTGAGTAACCATCCTCACACTGGGATGAGGAACCCCACATTGGGGTGAGGAGCCTCTCTTGCAAATGTTGCTGAACAAATGCTGGGCAGACGGCCAGCCACCCTTACCACCTTGTAAAGTAGTCTGGTACCAGGGCTGCCTCAGGCTGGGGGCTAGTTCAGCGCCCACCCAGGAGTCCGTGAACGCTCAAGGAGTCTGGGTTTTAGAGAGCTGTGGCACCAAGCCAGCTCACTCCAGCACCATCCTTGGAGATGTCAGTCAGTCATCAGGACCACAAACTTCCCTGAACGCCTTTCATCTGTTACCTCTAAGCAGACGTCTGGGCCTGGATATTTATCTTCTCTCTCTCTGTCTCTCTCAGTCCTATTCTGTTCCCCTGCTTAGTTCTCATTTTTTCCAGGTTTCTTCATTCATTTTGGTCTGTTGGTCTCTCTTTTTTGTTAGGACACTTTTAATTAAATGTCAGGTGATCCTTTTTTAATGTTGGTGCATTTTTTCCTTAAACTTGCCCTTTTTAAAGTAAAAGTACAGTACATATATGTACAACTCATTGAATTTATCACCAAGCAAACGGCCATGCCACCTGGCCTGATCCTACTCATTCTCCAGGTCGCAGGTCAAGCACTCACTCCTTCCTGAGCTGGGTCCCTTTGCTGTGTCTCAGTGCCCCAGAGCTTGCTTCTGTTCCGTCTGCTAGCACTCACTACGCTTCCAGTGCCTGCTTCTATCTGTCTCCAGCTGGCCCGTGCTCTCTGTGAAGTCAAGAGCTGTATTGACATTGCTCACTGCTCTTTTCTCAGCCCAAGCACATAGTAAGTGCTGAGGAAGTATTTGAGTATATGGTCAGGTAGGAGGGAAAGAGTGAAGGAAAAAAGGCTAATGAGAGAGAAATTTGTTTCCTGTTTTCAAGGAATCCATTCTCAGGGAAGACAAGACCATTCTATTGTGAAAATGTCTACGGGGAGCTCAGGACATTATGGCAGCCCCAAGAAGAACTTGTAGTCCTTTAAACTAGGATTGATTTTTTTGCTTTTTGTGTTTTAGCTACACATACAAATAGGAATGAGTTTCTTGGGAAATTGTGTCTTGCTGAAGGAGCAAGTACCTGTGCAGAGGTGTAGAAGTGTGTGAAAGCAACTGAGCATGCTCAGGCTGGGCTGGAGTCAGGACCAGGAAGGCAAAGAGAGCGATGCACCTGGAAAGGAAGGAAGTGAGGGGGTCCCCGACTAGCAGCCCAGTCTGGCCTAGATCCAGATCATGTGGACAAAGTCCCAGACCTGTCCTTCTTTATCAGGCCTGTGACTTCAGGAGGGCTTGGACCTGAGCCACACACCCCAGCATAGCCACAGATCCTGTCCTATAGGCTCTTTTCTGCTTAGCTGACCCTGCCGAGGTCTCTCCAAACTCACATGGTCTCTCAGGAGGATATGGGAGCAGTGAGTATGGTAAAAGGGAAGAAACATGAGTGTTCGAGTCAGAATCCCAGCTTCTCTTAATAGTTGTAAGATCTGGAGCATTTCTTTACCTTTGAACTTGTTTCCTCATCTGTAAAATGAGATATAGGAGTTGTTAAGTGTTAAGTGTGAGAAGTGATTTATAAACTGCTTAACACACATTTAGGATCCAGACCCAGTGTTTAAAAATACTATAAGGGGTTAAAAAGCACTTTCAAGCAAACAAACAAAAAGTATAAACTCTTATATTGATTTATTATCCTTGGTCTTTGTTTCCTGGTTGGTAAAGTACAGGGCCCAGGGGCCCAGAACCCATTGCTTGGTTCAAGTCAGTTTCCTGTTATAATGGCAAATATTACCACCCGGCAGGGGTTGTGAATGAGGTCCCTGTCACAAAGCACATGGCCTTGTTCCTTAATTGCCAGGGTGGAATTAATTTGCTCTTCCTGTTTCTCTTGTGACAGGAAGTAGATGTCCTTGAATTTCAGTTGATTAATGGAGGCCTCTGAGCAAAGTGCTCCAGCCTGTCTTGCTTTTAATCTTTATGCAATGCAAGGCCCTAATTTGATAATTTTTCTGTTTTTTTAGATGGATCACCTACTGGTTGAAAATATTGAACGGGAAACGTTTCATCTCTGCTCCCGCCTCATTAATGGGCCATACCGGCGGACGGTGAGAGCCCTGGTCTTCACATTAAAGCATCGAGCTGAAATCCGGGAGCAGGTGAAGAACGGCATGCTGCCAGTCGGCACGTTTGTACAGACCCACAAAAAGTGACCTGAGGGTGGTTCCAACACTGGGCTGGGCAGAAAGGAAAATGGGCCTCTCTCTGCCATTCAAAGATTCTTTTGAGTTTGGGCGATGGTTGATGCTGGCTGTGCTAAATTTTCCCATGGTGCCATTCCTTCAGACAGAGGATGCAGAGCCCTGGAGACAGGCCTGCAGGAAATGCTTCATTAGCTGGAGTGCGCTGGGGCTGCCTAACAGGACGAGCGCTCGCTGTCACTGGGAAGCGCAGTACGGTTGCCGTCACCCAACACAGTGAAAGGGTGACGGATTTCACTGTGAGCATGCCAAGGACACCTCTAAACTTCCCCCGCGTCAGGCAGGTGAAGTTACTGCTTTATTTCACCACCCTGCAGGTAACTGAGACTCAATTACCGCGGCTGCTCACTCGGTTCCGTCCCCCCGAGTTTAGATAGCTCCAGCGCCTCTCAGAACTCCCCGTCTGTTCTCTTTGCTCTGCCCCGGGGGTGAGCCTGCCGGAGCCGCCGGCTACCCCTTCTTTCCAGGACCGACTTATCTGAACATTTCAGCTCTCCCTGGAAGACCTTCCGCGCATTGGTCTCCAGAGCCCCCCTGCTGGGGTTTCTAATGAGGAGCTGGCCTGAAGCATGCCCACTCCTTGGAGTTTATTTGAATATGCTGGCTGCTTCGGTTTAGGGCTCTGTAGAAGATACATAATGAAATTGCTCTTGAAGTGAATTATTGTAAGAGGAAAAATTATATACATATGTTTTTTAAAACAAAATACCTGTATATAGGCTTGCTTAAGCAATTATGGAAATGATACTTGCTTTTTTAAAAAAAATAATAAACTGGGACTTTTTTCCCCTAAAACCAAAGGTATGGCTTTTTCATTGAAAAATGTTTTGATTTGAGAAAGAGTATAGTTGGTGAAAATAAAGAATGATTAGACAGGAATTTAGGGAGATAGAATGAGACCCAAAAAAGACTTTAGGTTAGGGGATATTGGAGCATGTTTGTAATCTGAAAAGAAGGAGCCAGTAGAAAGGAAGAAGTTTGGGGAATTCACTGGTGGTCCAGTGGTTAGGACTCTCTGCTTCCATTGCATGGGTCCCGGATTCCCTGGTCAGGGAACTATAAGGTCCTGCAAGCCTTGGGGCTTGGGCCAAAAAAAAAAGATTTAAAATCCAGAAAAGAGATAGATTAAAAAAGCAAGGACACCCTCTCTCTCTCTGTCTCATACAAACAATTTTTTTCTGATATTCTTGATAGTGAGTTGCATACATCGAAGATCTTTATCACAAATGAACAATAAACGATGCTGAACCTCAAAAATATTCAAGAAAATGCAAAATAAAGCAATAATACATTGCCATTTTCACCAATAAAGCTGGAAAACATTTAAAATTAAAATGCCAACTTCTGTTGAAGATGTGGAGAAATGGTCCCTTTTTACACTGATGGTTCACATCCCTCTTGGAAAATAATCTGTCAATATTTACTCATATTTAAGACATGTGTATACACTGACCCAGCAGAGAAGTTTCCTAAAGAAACGCATAATCCATGCAAGGATATTGTGTGCAACTTTATTGTCAGAGGAGGAAGACTGACAGTGAGCAGTCAGTCATTGAAAAGAAGGTATGACTTCTGCATCCACTGACATGAAGGATTGACCAAAAAATTAAGTGGTGGGGGGTGGGGGGGTGAGAATCTACAGAGAAATGTCTTTAATAAGAATTCAGTTTTATAAAAAGGAAACAAAAGAATCCTATATATGAATATATGTCTTTGTACAGGATTATATGAGCAGTGTATGAAAGGGTATGTATCAGACTATTTCCATTGGCTGCCTTGGGGAGGAGAGGGGAGCCAGAAGATGGCATGAAAGGAAATAGGAGATGGGGAAGAAAAAAGTCTGTAGCAAAATGAAATATGCCAATGTAATGATGTTGAATGTATTTGTATGATTTTATATGTACTTGTGTTTATATTTTTGCTGTTAGAGTGGATTAAGCTTATCAGAGATTTGTTTATTTTAGAAACTTTTTTTTTAAAACAAGGACAGAAAGAAAGGGCCTAACATTGTCTACCTTCTAAGTGCTTGATCCTTTTCCTAAGATAATTTATTAGCATTTACATTGATCTTTATATGGTTTAAAAAAGCCTGTTGAATCATCTCGTCTATTACTAGGTTTTGTTTCAGTTTTTTCAGATTTCTTCTTTTATTTGGCAGCCATTTGCTGAGCACCTATTCCATGGTGCCTTGTGGATACCTAGCAGGAGCTACAGATGAGACCCTGAGGCTTACCAAGCAGAAGTATCTTGTTCAGTTTCCCACTGCTAGTAATTCTGGGAGACTGAATAATAATTGCTCAGCACTGTGCTGGACATTTTTTAAAATACCCAATTAAAGATGAGAAAAGTAAGGCTCATAGTAATTTCATAACTTACTTAAGGTCACACAGATAGTGAATAGCAGATCTAAGACTCAAAACTCAGGGGATTTGCCTATATATAGCTTCCCTGGTTGATTTCATCCACTCTCATGGTTGCAAGCATCTTTTACATGCTGATGGCAATTCCAGTTTGTATCTTCAGCCCATCCCTGTCTCCCAAATGTCAACCCCTAGATTTCCATGATTGAATTTGAAGGGTCTTTTGAGCATCAAGTGAAAGAAGGTATTTGGACTGATGCCATGCAGGAACTGGTTAGTATTTTGGATAAGTGGCTGTGTAGAACAGAAGCTGGAGCAGGGAGACCGACCAGTAGTAGGAAGCTTCATTTATAAACAGCCAAAGGGTTCTGCTAACTTAGGAGCCCAGAGTAAGTTGAAGACAAATTGCTCTATGGCTGAAAGGCTTTGGTGGTGATAGTTGGAAAGTAAAATGATTGCAGAGATGTGCTTTGGAGATTTGGAAAGCAGGCTGTGTTATTTGTGGCTGTTTTCTCCTTGATGCATGTGCAGAATTTCCATGAACACTAATGGAGCTATTCTGAGTGTTTGCCGAAGGGAAGGAAGCTTGCTGACATCCATCCAAGCTTGCCCACCCACTAAGAAGCACCTCTGAGCTCCAGCCTCTTAAAAATGAAAGGGTCAGCTTGTGAAATGGGGTGAGAGAAGTTCTTGGGACCTCTGAGTTGCCTGTAAGTCTAGGCATGAATATGTCTTCTAAGTGTGTTCAGTTGCTAGAGAAAATTCGGGTGAGTAAATACTCTTAGAATCTGCTCCAGCGGCTTATTGATCCTTTTCTTGTCGTTGTTAAATTGGAGGTCCTGGTCTTTGGAGTAGGGAGCTTGTCTGTTCATTCATTCAATGAACAAATGTTGCCCACCTCCTCTGTTCCAGGGACTAGACTGGCACTAGGGAAACTGCAGTAATTGAGATACAGTTTCTACCCTTCAGGAATTCTTAGTCTGGTGGGGAGACAAACACACAGGAAAATAATTACAGTATAGCATATTAAGTCCTTACTGTAGATATTTATTTACAATGTGGAGAGAGTAGAGAAAGTGTTGATTAACACTATTCTAAGGGAAAGGAAGTCTTCACACAGAGTTCTTAGCAGAGGGGTCAGTATGTGTGCAAAAGCACAGATGTATAAAGTGCATGGCTTGTTTCAGTAAAGGCAAATAAAAAGGGTGGGAGAAGCTGAAGGGTCTTAGGAACGGAGAGAAATTGGGCAAAAAAGGTAGAGAGGGTCCTGGAGGCCTTGTGAAGGAGTTTGAACTTTGGCCTTCAGATCATGGGAAGGCATGAGAAGTTTCTGAGAAAGTGAAAGACCTAATAAGATGTGTATTTTAAAAAGACAAAGATATTCCTGTATAAACAAGTACATAAGAAAAAAAATTAATGATTAAAAAAAAACAACAACAATTTAAGGCAAAGGAAAGAAACACTAGAGATTCAGTAAATTAGAGATTTCTTTTTTTTTTTTGACCAATGAAGTTGAGAGTTGATGATACTCCCTAATGATATCTGAGTCCCAAGTTTGAAAAATGGCAGGAAGCTCAGATAATTCATTTACTGTGTTCAGTGGTGAAGGAACAGGCAGCTGGCCTTTTTTCATTTATAGAATATCAGGGTTTTAAACTTGTGCCTGTCAGCCTTGGTTTTCTTTTTCTACAGCCTCAGGCCTCAGAGCCTCACTCTGAGAGTTGTAATGTGTTTTGGATGCGTTTATCACAGCCAGATGGGCTGAGGGCTCAGTTTGTTACTGCCCATTATTGCTATCAAAGGGAGTCCATCCAGAAAACAAGGCTTTGGAGCTTCGATTAGTTTGGTGACGCTGCCTCGGTTTCAGATGAGAGATGATTTGATTGGATGACTTTGTATTTTCTTTTTAAGTCAACCAAAATGATACAATTGTTGTCAGGAATAGGCTTACCCATAAGTTAAGGAGGTTGGTTTCAAGATGCCAGATGACCAGGATGTCCAATCACATGCTAATTTTTCATCTTGTTAAAATCTTTGATTTAGGGAATTTCCTGACTGTCCAGTGGTTAGGACTCAATACTTCCACTGCTCAAGGCTTCGGTTTTATCCCTGGTTGGGGAACTAAGATCCTAGAAGTCGAGCAGCATGGCCCGCCCAAAAAGAAAAAAACCTTTGATTCAGTGCATATTTATTGAGTTCTCATGTGCCAAGTCTGAGAATCACAGGGATAACTAAGATATAGCAACCATTTTATAAAAAGCAAATAATTATGAATTACAGGAATTCAAAGAAGAGGAACTAAGCCAATAAACAGAAAATGCTCCACCTCACTGGTCATCAGGGAATGGCAAAGATTAATGCCATCCTTAAAGACCTAAACGTTGCAGGAATAGTGTTCTCTTTATCTCTCTGTTTAATTCACTGGTTTGTCCCCTACAAAAATCAGATGTACCTTGGAAGGTGACAGTGAACTACAGCAAGATCAGCCAAGTGGTAGTTCTAATGGCGGATGTGGTGTCTTTCCTGGAGTACATTAATCTGTTCTCCAGTACATAGTATGTAGCCACTGATGTAGTGAATGTTTTTCTTTTC